TACTTCTAGAAATAGGATAAAGACAAGAACAAACAGAGGAAGAACATTAACATTGATTTTATCTTACAAAGATTTCCACACAGTCTATAAGTAAATTACTATAAACATTAATGTCTGGTAAAAATGCTTGAATCTGGCTGTTTATTTAGGATATTATTAAATTACAGATAAGATAGTGTTATGTTGTCTTTTATTGTTGTTAAAAGTGATTTTATATCTGAATAAACTTAGGCTTATTCTTAGTGTTGTGTTTGTAGATGATGCCACTAAAAAAGAAAATAGACATAAGGAGGTATTTAAACAGTCAGACAGTAAGCAATATAGGATGATGATAAAAGGTTGTGTTTAATTTAATCCTTTACTATTAAAAATGCACTTTTACATTATATGATTATAGGAAACACAGATATCCAGTAATAATGATGCAGGGCAGCTTGTAGATGAAGCCAGGTGAAACTAAAATATTTCCTCTTGATGAGTTCTGGATTGAGAATATTGACAGACAAAAAAAAATTTTTAATCTTATATATTATGTATATATATTGTATTTTAAAAATGTTGGTATAATTACTGATCTAAGTGGGTTGCTCTGTCGAAGAAAGGCACATTTTACATTTATATTATGTTTTAGAGTCTCTATTCTCCAGTTAATGATAAATCACTTACTAAATTAGTTGATGATTATTTAAATAATCAATTAATACGGTTCATTTTTTCAGCCTCAGATAAAATACATGATTTGGGCTACACAGAGTAACTACAGCCCAGATGTTCAATTTTTATAGTGAAGTTAATATTTTAATGAATATATTATTTTGCTTGATACAGAGAGAGTATAGCAGGTAAAAAGAGTGGGGTTTAGCTCTGCACAATTCTATATCTTTAAAAGAAAATACTGTATTTACCTTCTCTCTTAGTCATTCAAATGAAACCATTTTCAAAGTGGAAAACAGTCTTAATTCCACATTCTTCAGAACCGGTGATACTTTAAACATTAATAAACAGCATCTAATGAGTGTAGTGCTTATACATTTTTATTAATGTAGCAAAATGATGCTTTTCTCTTTAAACAATCAATTCCTCTTATCAGTACGGATGCTCACATCGAGCATAAAAAAGGGCATGCATATTGCATAGCACCAATGACACCCGGCCAATAGTGTCCCTACCAAAGTTCAAATCAAACCTACGCCCTTGCCATATTATATGACTTTGTGGCTGACATCAACTTTGTATCTGGTTTTACCTCACAATTTATGGCTTTTATAATTCACTTTTGTATATCTCTCTTATGGCATATTACTTTTTTTATGTTAGCTCTGTTTATACTAATTCACTGTTAGATTAATGACATTTACACTTTAATTTCATGTTTCTCTGTTAGGGTGAGCAGGTTACACATTTCAGAAGATTTTAATTAATCACACATTTTTATGATATTTAGAGGTAAACAATGAAAATAGCTGACATGAAAACAAATAGTAACAAAACATGTTAAACATGTTTTGTGTTTTCTGGTAGAGAAATAACTACAATCTCACTGGAGTGTTCTCAAATCTTACAACCTTTATCACAGTTCATGGTTGTTAGATTTGAAGGGTAAGACTGTTGATTACTTTTTTGTTTTACATATATAGAGAGCTTATAAACATATTTACTTAATTTTTTGATTCTCCTAAACTTGGTATCTATGTTTCTCTCCATAGTCCATTTGTTGAGCTTGCTGTTTACTATATTTGAAAATAAAAAGAAAATCAGCAGCTATAACCTCATTAATGTGAGAGAAATATATCTATGTCCTTAGATTTAAAAAATAAAGTGAAATATTTTATATCTGAAGTAACACTTAAGCATTTTTTGGTCAGTTTAAACAGGTGAAACCAGTTAAGTAAATGCAGATGATTAAACCAGTTAATTAAATCAAAACCAGAAATTGTTGAAATCTTCTGGTTTGGTTATGTTGGTTACATACAAGCCAATTATTTGCATTTGAATATTATAAAACAAAAATCTCTTCAGTTGAAATTGTTGTCAAAGTTATTAAATAGATAATCTTCTTGAATGCAGCCTTAAAGGCTCTGGGCCTCACCGGTTCCTACAGATAAAAAAAATGCTATTTGGGAGTATATTAGTAATGTGGAAAATGCATAAATACAAACTAAAGAACACTTTCTGATTAAGGATTAAGAGAAAAGGGGTTCTAGACTAAACCCCCATTTTTAAGTGTGTGCCGACTTCAGTGATAAAATTCAGTATGTGAATCTGGCAGTTATTCAAGAGCAAAGTGATTCAAGAGCCTCATGGCTCCTCTCAAATGATTCTGGCATTGCTGCCTAAAACACAATATAGCAACGTAATTCCTTTTACAGGCTGTTAACAAACCACTTTGAGAATCACAAACTTCCAGCTAAATGTTCTGCTACCTATTGTTGATAATTATCATTGAAGATGTGTGAGTTCATTACACCTTGGTCAGGGCTGCCTGTCACAACTGATGCCTTAATCTAATTAGGACTGTTCCTATGTCTGTATATACAGTTATAATCTTCATTCTGTACATGGCAAAGATTTGGAAATGGAATGAGAGCGCTGTCCTTCAGCTAAGAACAAAGTGTAATATTTTGATAAAGCTGGAGCCATGGATGTCTAATCATCTGCTAATGTGAATGATGTAAAATAAGATGAAGTGGCAGACTGGAGATGTATAAAAGAGCTGCTGGTGGAGTTTCATGAAACCATTCGTAGCAATAAATCAGAGACTTAAATTTGTTGAATGAAGATTTTGGTCAAAATATTTGTAAATGTCCTTTTTCTTATGTTGAAAACTAAATAAAATGTATCCCGAATGACAATTGGGTAAAAAATACAAATCACTTTTACTTTTTAGTCTTCAAATGGGGATAAACTAACTAACCACAAAGATATTTTTTAAAAACAACCTTTGGAGCTCTAGAAACAATAAAGCCACAATAAAATCCCTTAAAATCACTTTATTTACTTAAAAACCCCTCAATGATATAGTTTAAAGAAAAAAGATCTTAAGGAATTTAATGTTTAAAATATTATTGATAAACTTAAACATACAAACTTTATCAAGAAAAGTATTAACAGAAAAAATTAACCCAATTTAAGAAATCATGGAAAACACTACTTAGAAGAAACTGTTAAAAGAAAACAAGTTTTCCTGATAAAAATGTTGTCAAACAAAATTGATAAGATAAAGAACAAAAAAAACAACATTGATTAAATTTTTACTTAACAAAATTAATGAATAATCAAATGATAGTATTTGATAGAAGTCTGACATTATTGACTAATTTGAATCTGACTCTGCCTTAATAAATCTGCTGTGTTTAATTAACCCACATAACTAAATCCCAAAATAAAGCACTAAAGCAAGAGTGCAAAAACAGAAAAGTCTAAAAAGAAAAATTTCAAACATTAAGAGATAATTACTTAGTTATTGAAATTTTTTGTTGTTGTGATTTATAGACTTTTCCTCAGCCTGTTTTTTCATTGTGAATTCAGCTGATTGTCTTCATCATCTTCTCCTCTTCGCTGTTAATCTGTTAAAAAAAAAAAAAAAAAAGATGTTTTTAATGAGGTACATCTTCCAGGTTTAGTTATATTTTCAATAAACTTCTGAAATCAATTGGAAAAATTATAATCAAAGATTGACCCTGAAGGGATTACACTATAGGAATATTTTATCATAATTGACTTACTTTCTTGGGATTTGATCCATCTGAAGTAGCGGATGACGTTTCAGAAGCTAAAACACAAAATAAAACGCACATTTTTCTATTTGGCTTTAAAATTGTTACATCATCAACTTAATATTACTAGACAAAAGAGGATGACAATATTTGTAATACTCACTATTTGCTTGCTTAAATCCTGAAACAAAAAGCATAACATTTATTTAAAGTTTTTAGGAAGGATACAGCCCCTAAAATAGCTGCCATGAAAATAAATAGTATATAAGTAGGTTTTATGATACATAGAATATCTTTGGTTTCTCACCGTTATCTTTTGTCTTCAACCAGACGACTCCAGCAATGATGGCAACCAGAACCAGAAGTGCAGCAATAGCACCACCAATAATGATCCCCATGGAGTTTCCTGAAACAAAACAATTTAAACTGATTAAAATATGTAAGTGCAAACATCACTTTGCACTTATGAACCAAAAACAAACTAAATATGGATAAGCTTAATTTAAGGGTTTTAGAAGCATTTCTGCCTTGAGAAATTCCCAACTAAAATAAATGCAGAATAGCTTCATAATTATCAGATTTAAATGTAGGGCTGGGCGATATAGAAAAAAAGCTTATCGATAAAAAAAATGCATATTGATCGATATCGATAATTATTGACAAGATTTGAAACCATATTTTATGTGCAGCTCTGCCTGGACATTTTATGATATTGCTAAATGATTAAATTTTAATAAAGAACACAAACACAGACTTCCAATTAAATATTTATTTATTTAACCAACTTTTTTAACCATAACAGAATTGTTCTAAAGAAAAATAACTTAAGAGACCTGAGTTATGTTATTAAATACTGACAAAGACTAAACTAAAGTGACTAAAAAAGGGACCAAAATAAATATAACAAATAAATAAATACTGTAGAATACCCTATTTGGGTGGGAATAGTACACCACCAGCTTGTGGTAATTAAAAGATTGTAGGACTAGGCTACCATGTAAACTCCACTCAACCAGAACAGAAACCCAAACAAAAATCAACTCACCCTTTAGCCTAGCATTTCTATGGGGTATTTTTTTTTACCCCTATTCTTCTAGAGGTGCTGCTGGCACCTCGTTATGGTAAGCTTAGTTTCCTGCTTTAACCTGAGTTATTACTTTGAAGTTTCTGGCCCCTCAGCATTTTTCTCTTAATTGTTAGAACTACGTGGGAAACTGCCCAGAACTGAAAATATATATATATTTTTTTCCCCCCGAAATTCCCGAAGATTCCTCGGAGGAGAGCCGCGTCGGGGCCTACACAGCTTGTACTCCTCTGGGTGTGAGCAGCTGAGATGATAAAAAAAAAAAAAGTTGGTAGTGTTATCAGACTTGGTTTTCACTGGTTCCCGACACA